GTCCGGAAGTTCCTCAGTCCTCCATGTTTAGGCCCCCCAGATCCGGAAGTTCCAAAGGTGCACATCCATATTTAGGCACCTGGATCCGGAAGTGCCTCAGGTGCACGTCCATGTTTAGGCTCTAGGACAGGAAGTTCCTCAGGTGTCCATGTTTAGCCATGTAATATATTTTTTGAAAATGAGTTGACAAAGTCAGGGAATAAGAAGGCTAGAACAGGGGGTTTGGGTTGTAGCTCAGTGGTAAAGTGCTTGCCTAACATGAGGGAGGCATTGGGTTTGATTCTCAGCACCACATATACATAAATAAAAATAAAGTTCTATAAATAATTAAAAAAAAGTTGAATTTAAAAAAAAAGAAGGCTAGAACATGTTAACCTGTTTTGCCCCATCATCCCAGGTAGGAACACCTATAATATCTTAAAGTGAACAACAAATATACTACTTATGGTAATTTTGAAATAATATTTGAATATTTATTATATTTGCAGAATTGAAAACTTGAGGCTTAATGTGTTAAATGAACATTTCTAGCTAAAAGTGTGGTTAGAGAGATTGGCAGCAGCCAGAATGGGTCGTTGAATATGATCATAAGAACAATTGGGGAACCATTAAAAGGTTCTTAACAGGGCATGACATACACCTTTGACTTTAGTGTGAACATGTGATGGTGGTGGCTTGGATTAGAATGGTAATAGTGAAGATGGAGAGTAGTAGGGATATGTAAGAAGTACTTGTAGGAGATACCCTATGGTTACCCCTAATTAGTTATACCTGTGTGTGATCCCTTCCCCTTGAATGTGAGCAAAACCTGTGATTTTTGGTTAACAAAAAATGACTAAAATGATGAGCTATCAATTCCCTTGACTAAATCTCTATATACAGCAAAGGTGATAGGATGTTACTATAAACAGTAAATATAAATATTTACTTATTTATTATTTTAAAATTTTTTGATGGAAAATATTTATTGTAGATGGACACAATACGCATTTACTTATTTTATGTGGTCTTGAGTAGTGTCTCACACATGTAAGGCAAGCGCTACTGAGCTACAGCCCCAACCCTTCTCTCTACTTCTTGACCGCCATGATGTTCTGCCTCACTTCAAGCCGTGAGGAATGGAGCTGGCCTTCTCTGGACTAAGAGTTCTGAAACTGTGAGCTCTCAAACAAACTTTTCTTCTCTTACAGTTGTGCTGGTCAGATCCTTTAATCACAGCAGTGAAAAAGCTTACTAAAACAGTGAACAAAGTGGTTAGAAGGTATCTAGAAGAAGCCACATACAGTGGCCTGCTCAGGGATTAGGAGACTCAGACAGGAGGACTACAAGTTTGAGGGACCTTGGCAACTTAATGAGATTCTATTTATAAATAAATTTAAGAGGGAGGTGGGGACTTGAGGATGTAGCTCAGAGGTAAAATGCTCCTGTGTTCAATCCCCAGAACCACAAATGGAGGAGGAAGAGAAGGAGTATGGATGATGGCATAGCTGAAGAAGAGGTTGGGACAGATGGAGGAATAGGTCTTTGAGATACCAGGAACCCTCCTTCCATGCTAATCGAAAAGTTGCAGGAGAGATGGGTGCAAGATCAGGAAGGTTAGTGGGAAACTGAGATTGTTCCAGGCTGAAAGCTTTTAAACTCACTGGAAAAAAAAAAGTTGAGTTATGCATCATTTAAGAATAAAGGTGAAGATAGAAACTGAAAAGTTAAGTAAAGTGGAAATGCTTTGAAATAGTCTTTGTGCAAAGTTTGAGCTAGCTAGAAAACAGTAAGACTGGCAAGCAATATTGAGTGACTTGTAGTTTTGATATGTTATTTGTCATTCTTAAATTGCTAGCTTTGTGGATGGGTGAAATTGCCTACAGAAACTGCCACCACACACTACTTGAGGAATCAAAAATAAATAATCTAGCTGAGAGGTAGGGAGTGTAAAACACATTTTAGCATGTATCAGGTCCTGGGTTCAATCCCCAGTAACAAAATCATCATCATCATCATCATTATCATCATCTAGTTAGATGAGCTGGCATGAAGACCAGTGTGAAAGTAAAGGACAGCTCAATAATTGACTCTTGGATACTTGGTTATTCATTTGGAGATAATTAGATCCCTTCCTCATATTGCACACAAATTAAGTATATCACAGACATAAATGAAAAGCAAATATTTAATAAAATTTATAGAAGAAAATATGCAGAAGTATCTTTATGACTTCAGAATAGAGATGAAATCTTTTATTTATTTATTTTTGTAACAAGGATTGAACCCAGTGTACTGAGCCACATCCCCAGTCTGTTTTTTTTTTGCTCAGAGCCTCACTGAGTTGCTGAGGCTGGCTTTGAACTTGCAGCCATGCACATTTTTTTTCATAGACATAAAAAGCAATATAAAAATAATATAGGAAACTGGGCTGGGGTTGTAGTTCAATGGTAGAGTGCTTGCCTAGCATATGTGAGGCACTGGGTTCGATCCTCAGCACTACAAAAAAAAAAATAAATAAATAAAATAAAAATAAAGGTACTGTGTCCATCAACCACTGAAAAAAAATCTTTAAAAACTTTTAAAACAATTCATAACAGAAATAGGGATGTGTTTAAAAGTAAATTATATGTAACTGAAGAAAGAATTAAAGATCTGAAAAATAAAATAAGTCACAAAAAAATGTTGTAGATGAGAAACAAAAGAAAAAGAGCAGGTAAGACACACAAGGGTTATAGTGAGGAAGTCTAGCATTTTATTGGACCTCTCAGGAATGAAAGGGGACAGAAACAGCATCTGTCCCTCGTTTCCCATTTTCATCTTTTTTACAATTAAAATATTTTTGTTAGGACAAATAACATGCCCACATGACGAAGGCAAGAGACAGGAAGCAAACCTCATCAGCAGGTCTTTCTTTATTCAGCATTTAGCATCAGAGTCAGTTGGTAGAACCCTGGCGTGGCTCATTTCCAGGGCAGAAAACGGCAGGTGGCTGAAGCTAGGGTCTGGGTTACTTGGCTTCTTTTAGGGTGGAACAGGAATGTGAATATAGGGAGTTTCCCTGGGCTTATAGTATTGGCCTCAGGTGACTCACCAGGGTCCTGGTCAAGTGCCAGTCTGGAGGGGGTTCCTTTTGTGTTCCTTTGGTCTGGCTGAGGCCTGGAATTTTCAATGACAAAAGCTTAGAGAAAATGTCTTTGGACTTATTTCCATATCCTTCAATTTAAAAATTCATCTTGGGGGCCAGGGTTGTGACTCAGTGGTAGAGTGCTTACCTAGCATACATGAGGTACTGGGTTCAATCCCTGGCACCACATAAATAAACAAACAAACAAACAAATAAATAAAAATTCATCTTTAACTTATGTATTGGCTTTCTCTAAATAATTTTTTAAAAATAGAACAGTTTTAGATTCAGAGAATTATTGCAAACATAGCACAGAAGTCCCATATTACACCCTGCCTCCCCCCTTTTTTTGGAGCTGGGGATTGAACCCAGGTCCTTGTGCATGTGAGGCAAGCACTCTACCGACTGAGCTGTATCTCCAGCCTCAGGTTCCCCTTTTATTAACATTCTCCATAAGTGTGGTATATTTGTTACATTTAATAAATTTGTTGCTTTATTATTAACTAAAGTCAATGTTTAATCAGAATGTTAAAACATTTTTAAAAGAAAATAAACAAATGATAGAGAATTGTTTACTATTGATGAGTTCACTAACTGTCTTAGGTATATTTCATTATCCTCTCCCGGGGATAATGTTTGTATTCATCTATTCATTAAAGAATGGTGGAAATGAGGGCTGGGGATATAGCTCAGTTGGTAGAATGCTTGCCTCATATGCACATGGCCATGGGTTCAATCCTCAGCACCACCCAAGGTGAAAATGAGATAGGGATTTTCCATAGAGAGAGATACTGAATCCTTAAAGGGAGTGTCCACAACCACTGAGATGCAGAGAGCACACTTGTAAATCTTGAGGTTGAGCGGCATGCCCCTATAAAATGAGGTAAACGTGCAAGTAAAGGAAAAACTGATGAAATTGTGGAGTTCCACTCTGCCTGCACCTCTTATCCACCCTCTAGCACCGGCCCTCTTATTAGCACCGCACACCAAAGGTGGCTGTCTCTCCCTCTGGAGATAGCCTGCATTCTCCCTTGAGTTCATATTCCTTGCTTTTACCCCAAAGGAATCTCTATTTTGAGTTTATCCTCCACCCTCCATATGTATCTACTAGCTCTGTCTATGCCTTTGATCCGCATGTGCTGAAATTCTTTCCCATCATGTTGGTCAAGAACTCCAGACTGGTTCTGGGTCAAGTTCCCTCTTCTCTCTGGGAACTCCTCACACCCTTCTGCGGAGACATCTCTTCTTTCATGACAAAATTAGGTATTTATAGACCAATAAATGTACTGCTAGTTCCCTCAAGGGAATGAACAAATTGAATATGTTCTGTGTATAAACTTAATGGACTTTTAAAATGGAAGACAATTTTACAGTCTTTTATTGACACTCCTTATTTATTTGATCTACTTCATTAAAAATCTTTTATCCCATTTCACTCACTGGGATTTTGCTGTCTCATATGGTAGCCAGTAATCACATGCAGTAATTTAAATGTGTTCAATTCCAATTAAATAAGACGAAAACTCATTTGTCAGTCTCACCAGCCATATTTCAAGTTAGAGCCTCACGTGGCTAATGACTTCCGTTTAGGACACTACGAACACAGAACATGCCTTGAAAACCTACGGCTTTCTTCCAGTCACTAACCTGATTCAACCCTCAAGGTTTGCTCCAACTGTAACTTCTGATTACACTTTTATCAAGAGTTCAAAACCATCTCCTTTTCCCAGGACACTAGACCTGCGCGGAGAGGCGTGTGGACCACGGAGGTGCAGTCCTCCCGTCTTCCTAGAGGGGCGCGCCCGCTCGCACTTCCGGTAAGCAAGCAGCGGGAGGCCTTCTTTCTCCCTCCTTGGGGTTGGTGCCCGCAGCCGGCAGAGCGAAGGGTGAGTGGGGAGGTCTGGCAGCGTGGCCCCAGGTGCTTCCCAACCCGCCCCTGTCCTGCCTCAGTCCTCCCCGCCGCTTTACCTGGGCTCCCGCGGCTTGCCTCCGTAGAGCCGGCGGCTGTACCAGGGCCCGCCCCTCGAGGTTAGCTGTCAGTTGGCCGGTCGGTCAGCGCATCCTTTCATCTTTTCCACCGTTCATTCACCGGTCACTGACTCCTCCAGCACTTACCGAGCCTCCTGTGTGCCCGGCTGCTGGTTTAGGAGGTGGACTTGGCGCTGATGGGCTCCTTACTGCCACTTCTCGGGCTCCTTACTGCCACTTCTCCGGCGGCCAAAGCGAGCTTTTAGGTCTCAGCCCTGGGTCCTGGCTTCCCAGTCTGGGTGTGATCCTGTCAGACACTTCCGAAACACCTTCCACTTTCCCCTTCGTAGTTTTCATCACAATTAAGTTGGGTAATTAAGTGTGCTTTCTGTTTAACTTGCGCCTCTCGCTATTTTTAAATTATGTGATGGCAAATACACTGTCTTGATACCTTTTTTGCTCAGTGCACAGATAGGCACTCAATAAATATTTCTACTTTTATACTTAATTGATTTGTGGTACTAGGGATCGAATCCAGGCAGGGCCTCATGCATTTCAAACAAGTACTCTACCACTAAGCCACATCCCCAGCCCCTTGATAAATATTTTAAATAAGTATGTGGGAAAATGCAGGCCCTTTTCTAAAGGGCGTTTTGATTTGGTGGGAGAATGCATTTATGAAACAGTACTTTCTCAGAGTAGGTATCCAAGAGGATGTACCCTGGTGTCAGATGAGTTGGTTTCAAAACAATCAGACCATATCACTTAGAAGCCATATAGCCTAGGATAAATTATTTCATATGTTCTGTTGCTCTTCAAACAGTTGAATGTACACCATAGAATGCTGTGAAGATGAAATGAATTAAGACACTTAAAAGGTAGATAGATAATGCTGGAGTCTAATAAAGTGTCAATTGGTGTTTTCTGTTACAATTAAGTGATTAAATAGATTCATTGTAATGCATTACATTAGAAAGCAGATACATTGTAGAACCGAAGGCCTCAGCAAGCAGGATTGCCTGGATATACTCTGACCAGGGAGGGAAATGCCTTCTTCCAGAGGAAGGGGCTATAGGCAAGCTCAGTGTTCCCACCTCCCCAAGGCTCCACCCACCCACCAAACACCCCCCCCCACACACACACACCAGGTACTAGAAAGCTGGTTTGCTAGACAGCTACCTAAACCCAGAATTCTGATGAGAAACAGTTGGGTTCTACCCCCACTGACAAGACCGCTTTCTCAAATTTGCACCATAAGAAGGTAGCAGAAGCTGTCCCCTGAAACACTAGAACACCTTTTTCCAAACTTCCTCTCAGTGGGATGATGGGAGACTCAGTGGACCTATACTTTCTTTTACCAACTGCTGGCTGGCAAATTTTCCCCAATAAAGTCTATTCTGTAACCCATACTTTGTGATGTGGAATTTACCCTTATCTGTGATGTCTTGGGTACCTACTCAGTTTTTTTTTAAAATGTATATTTTATTGTTCAGGTTTAGTGAGGACCACAGATCAGAAGATGATTGCCTTTGAAAATGTACTTTGTTATGGTTTTCAAGAAAAGGGGGCATGCCTTACAGGGAAACATGTGGAATTCCTCTGCCAATTGGTCAAGAGGCAGAGGGAGTGAGGGGAAATGGGCAAGAGCCTGTTTTGTGGGTTCTATGGGAAGAAACCATCAAGACAGGGTAAGCAAGGGTAGGATTGGCTGATTTGGATAATTTTAGTGAACTCTCGGGAGAGGGGTTCTTCCTAGTTGTTTGATACTTGATCCTGAAATGTGAGTAGAGGGGAGTGATGACCTTAAGTACGAGAGCCCTTTAGATAAGGTGGTGGGGCTCTGGGACTGTTGGTTTCATTTGGAAAGTATGCTCACAGGTGAGTTGTTTACTATCTCTAGGGATTGGCTAGTCCTGGGAGGAACAGTCTCTCCAGTATCATTAAATACCCAGATGCCAAAGCATCATAATAAAAAGACATGTTTTATACACCAGCCCACATACTCAGGTACTTTTTTGTTGTTTCCAATTCCTATAGCTCTGCAATGTTACATTATTAATTCCATGTTTAGGAGAGGAAATGGGATTTCAGAAGGATTCATTTGGTGAATGATGTTGGACAACTAGTTAGAGACTGTATCATGAGTCTAAATTGGGTCGTGTGACTTCAAAGTTGGTCTCCAGCTCATACTGGGTACTGAACCCAGGACCTTACACATGCCAGGCAAGCACTTTACCACTGAGCTATACCATCATCCCTGAAACTGGTGCTCTTTCTGTGAGCAAGATCACTTTGCTATGGTAGATATGAGAAATGCTGTGGGAACAATTTTCAGTCCATATTAGGCACTTGACAATGTTGACCACTACCTCTTTGAATTTTCCAGTTCATTCTTTTATATAGATAGAAGGTGTTATGCATTGGGTTGAGTGATGGAGATACAATAGTGAGCAAAAATGTTGATGTACCTTACAGTGAAGTCATAGATAAACAGGTATTAACCAAATGATCCCACTAAAGTATATGCACTGACAAAGTGAAAAAAGTGCTTTGAGGGAAAGAAATGTTTTTAAACTTTGTCTCCTGTGTCTCCTTGACTAATCCAGGGTTCTTAACCCCTGGTTGTACATCAGAATCACTTGCAGAATATATTACAAGTATAATTGTTGGGACCTCATCTAGGAGATTCTGATTATGCTTTAATGAATTCCAGATAAATTCAATGAGTGCAGTCAAAGAGAGCTTTACCTTGACTAAAAGTACATTGCTTTTATTAAAAACCAAATAAACAACAACAACAACAAAAACTGGTCAGGGGCACACGGAGAGAAAATGTGTAAGCATTCCTATTAATAACCCCAGCCAAGCTTCCTGATATTAGCCACAATCAGTTGCTAGACAGTGAGTAATACCCCTTGGAAACCTTCTCCACTGGAACCTTCAAATCTCCAGCCCAACTGATAAGATCACAACCACATTAGGGATCAAAAGTTGAAACTAGGGCCTGGGGCTGTAGTTCAGTGGCAGAGCACTTGCCTAGCATGTGTGAGGCACTGGGTTCAATCTTTAGTATCACATAAAAATAAACAAATAAAATAAAGGCAGGCTGTCCATCTACAACTACAAAATTTTCTTTAAAAAGTTGAAACTAATAGTTAAACTTGATCAATAAACAATACTGTGAGAAATACTAGTCTATTTTTGTTTAAAATCATTAAAAACAAAACAAAACTGGTTATAAGAACAGATCAGATCTGCAATTTGAAAAGATCACTCTGGTTACAATGTAGATTAATAGAGTAATGGGGATACAGTGCATTGAGGAAGACAGTAGATAAGTTATTGTAAAGTATGACAGATGGGACATTTAGGATGAATATGGTGGTGGCAGAGTTTAGGATGGGCAGACAGGCAATGAAATCAGTAGGCTAATATGCATTAAATAAAGGAAGGAAGTAAAAGAAAGAATTTTATTATGGATGATTTCTGGCTATACAGCCAGGTAAGATATTCCTGTTACCTGAAAGGGAACCAATGGAAGAGAGCAGATTTGATATGGGAGAAATCATGAGTTGTTTATGAATGTACTATTTGATATGCATTTGAGAAATTCAAGAGGAGTTATGGTGGGAGTGAAGAACTGTGGGTAAATAGGTCTGGAGCTCAGATAGGAGGTCTATACTAGAAGATGGTAAACAAAGGTGAGGGTTAGGTAGCCTTGGAGGAAAGTGGAGAGTTAAAAAAGGTGAGAATTTAGGACTAATCTTAGAGAATTCTGATTTAGAGGGGGTGGACCTATGAAGGAGATGGAGGAGTTTATATCCTTCCTTTAGCCACACACCCATGGAAGATGAGTTGGTGAGGCATAATATTTATAATAAAATTGAATAATACCACAAACATTGAAAAAAAGGCAAGAGACATAACAGAAACTAATAGTCACAAAGGATACATAGATGTAATGCAGCCCTTGGTAAATGCTATGTACACAGGTCTGACAGTGCAGCATCATGTGATTCTTTTTGTTTATTTTTTAACCTTATGATTTCTTAAATTACAATTATCACATAATAAGAAATAAAAAATATATTTATTATTTTTCTTCTGCAAAAAATTAAGAAAAAACATCCCCAAGTTTCTATTGTGTTTTGGTGTATTTGAAGCACCTGTTAATATCTGGTAAAGTATAGTTTAGGAAATGCTGCTTTGTTGGTACCTCAGACATAACTTTCTTAGTGAATAGCTCAGCAAATGACACCAGCAACCTCCAGTCACCAGGCATATCCAGAAACCTGAGTCTTTCTAGATTCCCCTTTCTTCCAAACCCTTATTCAGTGTGTCCTATCTTTATATTTTTTGACTCCCATAGTCTAAATAGTTGCAACAAACCCTTACTCATCTCTTCTCTCTCTTTGTGGGCACATAGATCCTCCAGCCCTTCCTGTGGCCATGAGGGATCAACCCCTTGGACCCTGGAGGGCTTGGCTGTTCCCCTATAGTTATCTCTTCTCCTTAATTGTACCCCAGGCTCTGGCACATTATTCTTAACCAGGCTTCTACCTATTAGAAGCACTTGGGGACACTCACTTAAGCCCCATCCCTGGAGATTCTGACTCCATGAATCTCTCATGGTGCCTCTATACTAAGACATAGCCAGAGGTGACAACCATTAGTCTGGCCTCCCTAAACCATTTTCATTTCTTCAATAGGCCACATCTTCTCACACTTCTCCCCTCTCCCTGGGCTTAGTCAGTGGTCTTTCTCTTGTGCTTATCATCTTTAGATTTATCAATCTGTATTTACCTGTCAATTTCACATACTAAATAAACTGAGTCCTTGCAGACAGAACTCATTATCTTGAGACTCCTGTTTAGTATGCCTGCTAGCACATAGTTAATGTTCAAGTATTTGTTGAAAAAATGGATGAAGGAATCTCTTTCTCTTTTCCTTGTGCAGTTTCAGAATCTTGTGACAAATTCAAGAATAACTTTTCCTTGTTTGTACATGTATAGCCATTCTTCATAACTCCTTTCTAATCTTTTCATCATTATTCCTAGTTTATAGTAACAATCAAGGTTGTCCTGGGCATTAACCAATTCTGGAATAAAAAGGAGAAGTTCTTGAGGCCAGGCAACCCTGAGGTCATGTCTTGACTGGTTTGGGACCTTGGGAAAATTCATTAACTTTCAAGAAGCTTTCATCATCTGTAAAACATGGGGATCAAAATATCATATAGTGTTACTGTCATGCCCCAATAAAATAGAATTTGTAAACTACCTGGCCTATAGTAGGTACTTATGAAGTGTGAGTTCCTTTCTTTGGGGAGTTAACTACTTTGATTGCAGAACCCAGTGCTCTGCTCACTGGCTGTATGCCTTTGGTCAGCTTATGATTCTCAGTAGTCTAATTTGGAGATTGGCCACAATTAGGATTATCTTTATATAACACTATTTACTATCCCTAATTTTGTGCATAACATTATTACCAAAGGTCAAATTGGTTTTGACTATATTAAAGTTTTGTTTCACATCCCCCAAAATTCTTGAATCATCTATAGATGTATCATTTATATGGAAGCTCCCTTTTAGTAAGTTTTCTTTATAGTGCTATATTCCCTGGCAACTGGCCTTCAAAAACCTGTATTTACATTCCAAGCATATGGTTTGCTTGTATAACACCAGCACTATCCACTTCAGGGCCTCCCTGAAGAGTTGGAATTCAGAAGGAATTCCTCAGATACAAGTTTCCATCTCTTCTCTGCCTCAGCTGGACAGCTTTTTCAGACTGTCTATTCCCAGAATGTCAGAAGAGATCACAGCATTGGCTTACCATGCTCCAAAAGAACAAGAAGGACTTATAATTGTGAAGGTTGAAGAAGAAAATTACGTTTGGGGGCAGGACTTTGGCCTTCAGAGGAACTCCCAGAGCCAGGAGGTCTTCCGCCTGCGTTTCAGGCAGTTTAGTTATTCTGACTCCAGTGGGCCCAGAGAAGCTATGAGCCAGCTCAAGGAGCTTTGCTCTCGGTGGCTGAAACCGGAGGCACACTCTAAGGAACAGATATTGGAGCTGTTAGTGCTGGAGCAGTTTCTGGCCATCCTGCCTGAGGAACTGCAGGCCTGGATGCGAGAGCAGGGGCCAGATAATGGAGAAGAAGCTGTGACTCTGCTGGAAGAGTTGGAGAAAGAACTCAATGAATCAAGGCAACAGGTAAGAAGTAGGTGTTTTGTTTGTTTGCTTGACTATTGAAGCTGTTATGAGTCGCATTGACTCCTCATGGAATTATCCAATTTCTATTTTATACCGTATTAATTATTCACTCATTGGTTCATGTCATTAGGATTTTTAGACCTGTTGTTTTCTCACTGATCATCTGAATAGGTTTCTGATTCCTTCTGTTTAGCCCTGTTGTTCTAGGGAGTTTCCTCTTGTGCTTCCTTAGAATCACAGTGCTAGTACTTGATTACTTCTAGGACTCTGCTCGTGGCCAGAAAATGATCTGGAAGAACACAACATGCACAGGAGTTCTGAAGTCTCTAAGTCACTCTTTGCGGTCTTTGGAGAGCCAATGCAAGAGTGAGACTCAGGAGCCCCAAGATTTCCACGAGAGAGGTGAGGATCTTTAACCCTTTTGGGGTTGAGGATGAGGTAAGGGCGATCAAGTGTTCCATGGTGCATTTTACTTAATAACAGTAACTTGCAGCTGTCACTAAGTATTGTGGAAAGAACCCCCATTTGCCTTGAAATACTCTTTCATTGGCTCTGCATTATTGTTTTAACTTGGGTTAAAAACAAAGGTCTTTAATAAATTCTCTATAATACCATAATGTTCAAAGACTAATATTCTGTTCTTAAAATAATACTTGAATCCCATTAACAAGGCAATTTCTAAGATGAAGATGAATACTGAATCAGTAACAGAAACTTGAACACAGAAAGTTTAACATTAAGAATTATGAACTGTTTTACAATGAATATATTCTGCTGTAATATATACTAAATTAAAATAAATAAATAAATAAAAGAATTATGGACTGTAACTGGCATTAACCATTAAGTGGTATAACTAAATACTAAAACTCTAAATTGTCAGGAGTAAGGCATTTGGCCCGGGGGGCGGGGGACTCTCGGCTTAAAGCAGAATGCCCAAGGAAGGAACATATCTGCAAGAGGGTGCTATGTCTTTCCCCCATCTGCCAGGGCTAAAGTCCAGATCTCTCTGGAGAGATAACAGCCATGACCCACTAGTTGGAGATGTTCAATGAAGTGCCCAGCTGGTCACACTCACTGAGGAGCTACCCTATGGGTGCTAGAAGCTCCAATGGGGAAGTGACATGGCACAGAATTTGCAGGAAGCTGCTGAGGGGAGCAGTGCCTCTGAAACTCATTGGGGTATGCACTACTGGTTGTCCCCCACACTGCAGAAACCGAGAGAGCACACCAGATCAAAAAAGAAAAGTTCCTTCCTCCTCTACTGGCCCTCTAGGCCCGTATACTATTAAAACCCATATCATGTCAGCTTGATGCCAGTATTGAAGATAGTACAATGAAGGGTAGATTTTAAATTAGGAGGCAATAAATTGATAGATGTCATGGGTGCTGAGAATTAGTACAAAAAGGACTTTGATTAAGGCAACATCATCCCTAGGGGCACCAGCTACATCAGCTTATTACTTTGTTGTCATTAGACTTTCATTATCATTCTGATTTCATCTTCATCAAGCAATCTTATTAACTTCCTATGAAACTTAGCTATAATAAAAATGCATTAATTCACTCTGTTTTGTATGATGATTACATAGTAATTTTCATAATGGCCTTATTGCTCGGTTTCATGAACTTGGTTTATAAGATTCTACTCCAAGAGGGAAATCCATACCTAGTGTGTTGATTGAGAGGCATGTGATGACACAAACTTCAAGGTCAGATCCTGAACCTTAGCAATTTACCAAAGTAATTAATTCTATTAATCCAATGAAGTGTCCTTGAAAACTGCCTCTCAACCTTCCCCCATGCATCAGACCCTGATACTACCCTCTTAAGTATCCTTTGCATCAAGTAGGAGCTACATTAAAATGCATTTTAAAAAAATGATCAAATCACCTATCTTAAACAGCTAAATGGATTATAATTGGTTTTTCATCACTATAATGTAATACATGGGACAGCTAACTTTATAAAGATAAGAAGTTATTTAGCTCACAGTTTGGGAGCTTCAAGTACATGTCACCTGCATTGGCTCAGTTCTGCTGTGTTGCATCATGGCAGTGACATGATAGGAGAGCATGCAGGAGCAAGTGATCACATGAAGCAGTGAAAGTGACTCAAAGGTCAGACTCAGGCTTTTCTATCCTCTCACAAGAACTCACCAGGGTCCCATTAGAAATACCTTATCCATTTCTAGGACAGGCTTCTAGGGACCACCCACTGAGCTCCATCTCTTAAAGATCCCATCAGTTCCTGCATCACGGCACTGGGAACCAAGCTCCCAAGACATCAACCCTTGGAGGCCAAAGGTATTCAAAATATATATTGTCTGAATCATTTAGGGTAGATTATTTAAGGTCTCAGGGGCCAGAGACTCCACTATAATTCCTTAAGTGCTTTTGGGATTTTTCTTATTAGCATTTTTAAAGGGACAAATTATATATTTCCAAAATTCATATATTGAAGCCCTGAGTCCCAATACCTTATGATATAATTGTATTTTTTGGAGATAAGGCCTTTAAAGAGGTTAAATGAGGTTATTAAATGGGCTCTAATGCAATATAACTGGTGACCTTATAAGAGGAAATCAGTACACAAACAACACAGACTGAGATGACCACATGAGCATAAGCAAGAAGATGGCCATCTATAAGCTAAGGAGAGACTGACTTGGAAAGAAACCAAAACTTCTGATACTTGATTTTGGACTTCTAGCCTCTAGAACTGTAAGAAAATAAATTCCTCTTCTTTAAGCCTGTTTTTGTGGTATTTTTTTTATAGAAGTCTAGCATACTAATACTAAAGTTATTTCCCAAGTCTATATGAAATATTCCTAGCCTCAATTTGGTTCCTTTTGTTTGTTTAGCAGAGCTTTCATAAAACACTTGTACTTGAATAAGTAAAATGACCTTTGACCTTTGTCTAACTAAGCCTCTCACTGTCTCTGACTCCTGTGTTCTTTGTCTCTGTTTATTTTGACACATTTCTCTGGTCATGTTTCAAATTCTCCACATTCTCTTGAGGTTCAGGGATAAAGACAAAATAAAATATTTTAGTGAGGATCTGATTACTTTAAAATGTAAATTTAAAGTAGAGTTTTCTCCCCAACTCTTATCTGTTACACTTTATTTCATTGTTTTTCACTTCACAATGACATTGTGTTATAGATTCAATCACATTATCAGCAATAGTGATTGTCTTTTAGACATTTTTGGACTTAGCAAAATTTCTCATCCTCATTTATGCCTGGTGTCCAAGTGTGTGGTCTTGGATGGACTTGACTAGGTTCCTGATAAATCACTTTATGCTGATGTCTGAAGAATTAATGTGAATAATCCATATTTTCACCTAAGTTATAAAGTTTATATTACTGGAAGGATCTGCCTTGATATGATTATAAGAATCACCATGCCTTTTTTTTTTACAACCTTGGGTTATAATTTTCTTGTAGGCTCTTTACTAGCCTAACAGTATGTCTTGTTAGAAGAAGAATTGGTGGTGGAGATATGGATGCAGGTAATTTATTAAGGACATGTTCTTTGGGAAAAATCTTAATAGAGGTTTTACAGAATTAGGAAGGGAACTGAGCAAGGAATGATATAGTCTCAGGTAAAACCTAATCTTGGTTGAATCCTTGGAAAGGTTCTGGAGCCTTAAGAGCATGATTGCATTGCAGAGTTGCTCTTTTGATGCAGTGGGGGCAGTCAGGGTGAAATAGTTTCCTGGGCTAGTGGCTTTCATCATCCAGGGCAATTCTGCAAAGAAGGGGGCCGTTGTGAAAGATTAGGAGTTGTCTTTGTTTTTCTCATTAGTACTGGAAATTGAACACAAGCCCTCATGTAAATGCCCTACTTCTGAACTACTCTCCCAATCTTTTTGTTTAATTTTGAGTCAGGGTCTTACTAAGTTGCCCAAGCTTGCCATTTTCCTGCCTCCCAATAGTTGAGATTAGAGGTATGCACCACCACACCTGGCTGGAGTTGTCAGTTCTGGCTGCTGTTCCACAATGTCATAAACTGAGTAGCTTATAAACAGCAGAAATTTTTTTTCACAGTTCCAGAGGCTAGGAAGTTTATGATCAAGGTGCCGGCATATTTGGTGTTTGGTGGAAAGCCATTCTCTCATAGATTACACCTGTGTACTTACATGGTAGAAGGAGCCAATGAGCTTTGTTGGACCTGTTGTATAAGGGCACTAGTTACATTTATGAGGGCTCTGCCTCCATGACCTAATCATCTACCAAAAGATTCTACCTGCTAATACCATCACTTTGGGAGCTAGGATTTCAGCATATGAATTTTGTGGGGAAAAGGACATTCAGACCATAGGAGGAGCCAACACTCACTGCAGCCAAGGGCAAGAGACATCAAACTAGTAGTGAAGTCTGCATTGGCAGTGCAACATAATCTAAAGAACATTAAGGCTAAAAGCATCTGTCATTTAGCAATCAGAGGTCACATTCTTAGTTAAAAGGATTTTATACCAAACATGTCACTGAACGGGTAGCAGGTGTGATAAAGGAAAGAGCTATTCTAACAGAGAAACCTATTACTTTTTTCTCAAAGAATATAAAACGAAAGACTTGTTTTCATACAAAAACATAACTTTTCCAGAGAAAAAATGAGTTTTAAATTATTTTTTTAGTTCAGCAACAGTCCTGCTTCTTTCCAAAGGGAAGGCAGATAACTCAGAGAAAACTGAAAACTTTGAGTTTAAGCAGATTTGTTTGAATTCTCACTCTACCAATTATTAATTCTATAGCCTTTCATACTCTTTCTGAGCCTCAGCTTCCTGATCTGTAAAATGTATATAAGTTTAGAGGACTTTGGGAGGATGAGAGCAACTTCAGAGTTCTAGAAATAATTCAATTGATATCACCCGTTTCTGTTGTAAGTTACAAGAAATCTAGAAAAAAGGTGGAGCATGTTGTATGAGAACTGGGTTTGGATCCAGGCAGTCACATTTGCCAATTGTTTCCATCGACCTTCTTTGATCCCTTACACTTGAAAAGATGGACCCCTAAGGCTCTCACCTAACCCCAGAGTGAGTCAGGAACCCCCATACATTCCTTTCTCATGCTTTGTATATCTTATTATATTGCTTGTTTTTTATTTGTTCCATTTGAAACCTGCTAGAATCTGCTATTGCCTTCATGCTTTCTAGTTCTTTTCCAGCTACCTTTGTTCAATATTAACCTCCTAAGCATTTTATAATCATATCTCCTGCTCTCTTACTTTGCTAGAAGTACCATTGATTTAAGACTCAGACATCTTTACCCTGATTATTCTGCATCATATCTTTTCCTTTTCTGCATTACCTAAAATACATTCTTCTCTACTCCAGAATCATCTCCTAGCTTTATAATTTCTCACTGATACTCCTATTTATCACCTCTAACTAAGGGCTTTCCTAGTTCATTGTCACTCCTCTTCAATATTAACTCTCCTTATCTGTCTACTTGACTTTCAGGGGGTCACCTCCCACTACTCCAGGCCACTTCACTGAATTTTCCTAGATTAGGAAGCTAGTTTTAAGAAATTTTCCTCCTAATAATACCTATTTCATTTGTTTTATTTTCTGCTCTTACTACAATAATTTCCTTTCTTTCAACATGGAGAGTAAATGACACTTGCATTTTCTATTCACACTTTTAGATGGCAAGATGGTAGCTGACAAAATGTTGACAGCAAAGCAAGAAATTATTGAATGTGTAGCCTCAACTGCTATATCTCCAGGAAGACTTCTTGGGGAAATTGCTTCAGTACAGATAGTTGAAGAAGCTTTGGACGGTCTGGACAACTCTGAGAAGCAAAGGGGAAGTGCTACAATGAACAAAATGAGTCAGCTCCCTTCCCAGGAAAGACAGTATAGCCTGGCAATGTTCAACAAGAAAATCCCCACAGAGCAGTGTTTCCCTGAATGTCATGAAATTGAAGGAAATCTCAATCTGAACTCAAATGATATTACACCACAGAGAATTCACACAGGGGACAAGCTCTATGAGTGCTTTGACTGTGGGAAAGCCTTTTGCCAAAGCTCAAAGCTGATTAGACATCAGAGAATTCATACTGGAGAGAGACCTTATGCATGTAAAGAATGTGGTAAAGCCTTCAGTTTGAGCTCAGACCTTGTTAGACATCAGAGAATACACAGTGGTGAAAAACCATATGAATGTTGTGAATGTGGAAAAGCTTTCAGGGGCAGCTCAGAGCTCATTAGGCATCGGAGAATTCACACAGGAGAGAAACCTTATGAGTGTGGGGAATGTGGGAAAGCTTTCAGCCGGAGCTCAGCCCTTATTCAGCATAAGAAAATTCACACTGGTGATAAAGGCTATGAATGTATTGAATGTGGTAAGGCTTTTGGTAGGAACTCTATCCTTATTGAGCATCAAAGAATTCACACTGGAGAGAAACCTTATGAGTGTAATGAATGTGGAAAATCCTTTAATCAGAGCTCAGCCCTTACCCAGCACCAGAGAATCCACACTGGGGAGAAACCTTATGAATGTAGTGAATGTAGGAAAACATTTAGACATAGATCAGGTCTTATGCAGCATCAAAGGACACACACCAGAGTTTAAGTCTGAGTAAGAGTTGTATAATTGTGAAATGCAAAAAATTCACTTTGAGGATGAGACTCAACAGAAGATAGAATTTTCCTGAGAGTAGGGTGCCTGTCCTTCCAGCCCAGTTCAGTTCTGTAAGAGGAGATCCACATGATTGTTACGATTGTTAAGTGTTAAGTGGAAAGAATTTGTTTTTTTAAATCAGGTCTTTGAAAAGAATGGTGGGTATTCTCTAGAAATGCCTAGCTTTATCTGCATGAAGTCTCTCATCAATACCACCTTTACCTCACCAACCCAATTATAACTGCCACGTTCAAGTCCAGAATTATGTACCTAAAAGAGCTCCTTACATGATGGCAAGGATAAGAACCCTGCTCAGCATTTTGTGCATTTGGTAGGTGAAGGAATGTACTAAGAATTATTCAACTACCTGAAATGTTGACTTGTATGGGAAATGCTGAATTATGCCCTGGCTTGTTTTAACAAGATCCAAGGCAGTTTAATATTATCTGAGGAATGGTGGTTCATTGTTCCCACTTCCCATTTCTCTCCACAGCCCTATGCTTCCTACAAGGCCAATTCAGGTTTGCTTTTTAATTAAGCACCTGCTGTGTTTAGCTATTTGGGACAGATATGGTCATAGCTGTCCCAGAGTTAAGGGTTAATGGAATATACATATTTACTAAATAAGTAAGTAAAGTGCAATAAGTACTTTGATAGGATAAATCCAGTGTGTTTCTGGAGTACATGGCAGGGCTACCTTACCTGATCTCTAAAGACTTCTTGGATGTGCTAACATCTCAGTTGAGACCTAAACTGTAGAAATTAGCCAGGTCAAGGGCAGAAGAAAGCAGAGGTTATAGGACATATAAGGCATGAAAAGAAGAGAATCTGGAGACATCAGGACTCTTCACTTAGCAGGAATTAGTTGTCATAGTCTGGCAGGACATGTGGCTAAGAAGCCAAGACATGTGTCTAGAAGATATGTGTTGGATTTTCTCTATTTATAATCACTATACAGAACTTATAACCTATTACATTTTCAAGTGCTCAGAATGAGGGTAGTAGAAGACTGGTACATCTTATGGACCATAACAGGCATGATGCACACCAAATAAAGAATATCCATTGGAGGCTATAGGGACAGTGAGGTCTAGAGTATGTGTTTTATGACCCTGGATCTCAGGAAATGGGAAACTTCCAGGGACCCAGAAATGAGAAATTTGCCTTCCCAGACCCTATATTCTTCATTCTCTTACCCTTACCCTCAGCACCAGCTCTGTAAACTCTAAGCCACTTGAGGGCAATAAATATTTGTTAAATTAACCAGATTCCTCAAAATTATATTTTCCTAATTTTTACTTTGGCAGTTTTAATTAACCTACAATTGTTGAGGGCAATTAATACTTAAGAACTTTTTTCTTTTTTGGGTACTAAGGATTAAACTCAGGGGCAGTAGACCACTGAGCCACATCCCTAGCCCTATTTTGTATTTTATTAGACAGCGTTTCACTGAGTTGCTTAGCTTCTTGCTAAATTGCTGGCTTTGAACTCGAAATCCTCCTGCCTCCGCCTACTGAGCTACTGGGATTACAGGTGTGCGCCACCATGCCCGGCCCTTAAAAACATTTTTGAAGACTTGATGTTCATAGTTACTGTGGGTAATAGAGATGAAATTGGGAAGGATCTTTGTGCCCAAAGTTTACGCAGTTGTCATTGAGTGAGATCAACCATAAGATTAAAGGGATCCTTCACATGGGATAGTGAGTTGCCTTTTCCTATAGGTGACAATCAAATGATTTAATGTTTTAAACAGCATTTGATGGCTTTTCCTTATTGTAAATGCTGATAATACGGAACATATAAATTACCCACAATCCCTTTACCCATAGAAACTCTTAACATTTTAGAGTACTTTGTGTTTTCTTCTCCAATCCTAACATTCTTGGCAAAAATATTGTAAATAAAAGTTACTAATTTTAACATTTATATGTTGAGTATACCTTTTAACTGTTCAGTATGAGAATGTAAAGCAAGATGTAATAAAATTTGAGTTTTAAAGTTTTGCTTTGAAATTATTCATTCAGAAATAGGAGAACACTAACAGGAGTGGAAGATAGGAGATAAAGGGGTTGTGGGAATAATTCATGGAATTGGTATTCTCAATTTTTATATTCTGGGCCAAAAAGTGTCAGGAAACTATCTGGTCTCTATGATTGCAGTTCACTGGCAAAGTCATAAGAGGTGACATCTGGTGGTGGTGTTGAAGGACCATGAGAATGAGACTACTAGGGAATCTCTTTAAACACATGCATCTCCTAGTCCATTAGAATTAAGACTCTTCCTTTTCTTGGGGGTGGTGGTGGTGGTGGTGGTAGTGGTGGTATACACACCAGGTTAGAATCCTCAACATTAACTGCTGGGTAGGACCAAGGACCTGGGAGACTATCATGTCCTTCTTCTCACTCAGCAGGTCTACAATAGAAATCTAAGTTTAGAGAGACCATGGCCAAGGTTCAAATTTCCAATCCTTCCAGACAACCATTAGTTGTTGTCTATGAAACTGAGGGAGAAAGGGAAGGCAGGAAACCAATATTAATATACTCTGCCTCAATTGTACATTTTCTATTTTTAATCTATTTAAAATTCATTTAAGGCAGACATTTTCCCCTCCAGACTGCTTCTAGTGCAAGAGAAACAAGACAGCCATGAGCAGGGGGAACATTATTTTTCTTTCCCAGAAAAGGCTAGTGAAAGAAAAAAATTTTTCCTTTAATAGCTTATTAACAGTGCCTCTTTAAATAAACAGAAATGTTGAAGCTTCTTCAACTGTGGGATTATCTTCTTCAGCTCCTTTAACACCAACAACCAAAGGTCTTGACCACAAGGCTACTGCTTTTTTATATGTATATATTTTTTGGTACCAATGATTGAACTCAGGGGGACACGACCACTGAGACCACATCCCCAGCCCTATTTTGTAGTAGATAGGGTCTCACTGAGTTGCTTAGTTGCTGAGGCTGGCTTTGAACTTGCAATTCTCCTGTCTCAGCCTCCCAAACTGCTGGGATTACAAATGAGTACCACTGAGCCTGGCTGGCTACTCCCTTTTTCAAGTGTAAGTCTTTAGGAAATGGCTTCTATTTGTACAGGATTTATAATTTTAAGAGGACTTGTTTATATATATATATAATGTAAAATGGGTAAGTCTGCCATTTTAAAAAAAATCAATGATAAAACCAAGGATAAGTTAATTTTGCTAACAAACTTGAGATTTGGAAAGGACAAATACTGTGGAAAGCAAGTATTTTTTCGTAATATTTCCCCAATATCCTGCACTTCTTTTTGAGTTTTCCTAATTTTTTTCCTTTTGAGTTTTTTGGTGTTGGGGATCAAACAGTGTCTTGTGCATGTTAATAAGTATGTGTTCTACCACTGAGCTACACCCTCCTATCCTGTCCTCTAGCCTTAAATAGTGCAGAAAAATTTGAATATATAAAATCACAAGAAAACATTAAATTTCCTATAACCTCACCAACCCAGAGACAATCACTGGAATTGCACATTTCTAGTATTTTTAATGCATAAATATATATATATATATATATATATATATATATAAAAAAGTGAGAGAGAGAGAGGGGGACACAGAGAGAGAATTTTTAATATTTTTTAGTTCTCGGTGGACACAACATCTTTGTTGGTATGTGGTGCTGAGGATCGAACCCGGGCCGCACGCATGCCAGGCGAGCGCGCTACCCGCTTGAGCCACATCCCCAGCCCCAATGCATAAATATATTTTTTACATGGGGTCATACAGTACAATTGTAATATTTAACAATCTATCATGATTGCTTTATTTCAATATTAATCAACAAATTTTAACAGCTTTTAAGATTTTGTACATTCATGATGGTTTCTGAAGTATATTTTCAGATAGAATTTCAAAGTCCAAAGGCAATGCTTAAGGCTTCCGGTAGTGATTGCTAAGATATTGTCTACTCACATGACACCAGCAATAGAATCTCAATTTCCCTGAATCTCTTATCAATTTTGGAAGTGCCATATCAATTACTTCAATGAACATTTTATGAGATTGACATACATGTGTTGACCCTTGGCACTTACTCTTTTGTTATTTTCCTATTTTAATGCTAGTTTTTCAACTAGAAGTTTTTCATGGGAAGATAGCACAGTGATTTTACGTAGGGTTATGAGTTCTACCTTCTAGACATGACCTTTAGCCTTCACTTCATCTGCCTAAAACATGGGCTATAATGAGAAATAAATAATGTATACATACAGAGCCCTCAGCAAATACCTATTACATTTCTTACATGTAAGAGCTCTTTAGAGTATTTTTTCCTTCTGCTCTATATCAATCCCTATTTAATGTCTTTTCCTTCTCAGTTTGAGTATTTCTTTGTGGAAAAAGAGGAAAATGAATTGAGCAGCTCTCACCATGTATTGTTACATCTTACCATATTTCCAACTCATATCATTCTTCCATTTTCTCATATTCTTTAAAAAATGGACGTTAGGTGTGCTGTCATTCTTACTAGTTATCACATGCCTACTTATATTCCAATAGGAGCATTAATTCTCTTTGCTTCTCATTAGAATTCTTTTTCTAGTCACAAGATTCTAGAGGATTTCCACACACATCTGTTTTTGGTATGTTGTTCCTTTATCCTGTTAGGTCTTTTGAATGGAGTCATATCTATAAGAAGTGTGGGCAGAAACCACACTTATGTTGCTGATTAACCTGTACAACTTTCCACTTTATAGTAAATACCAGCTTCTTTGTGCTAGGTTCCTCAGAAGAGGGGAAGTCTTAACTGATCACAGTTGTTACTTGTTGTCATTTCCCTTTGCAAAAGCTATGAAATATCACACATGAGGTGTCTGGATAGTAAGTCACAGACCCAGCAACTGACATATTTTTTGAGCACCCGAGTCCAAGGAAATATACTAGAACTATAAGGACAAAGCTTTGAAAATGAAGGATTTGGCAGATTCCAACTCAGGGACTTGGGGATTAACCTGACAACAATTCCAATACTGTAACAAAGGTGTCCTCATACCTAGGAGAAGGAGTCAGAATCTTAACATTTACCAAGGCTCTTTCTTAACCTCCACTTCCTCCATAGAAATTCTACCCTAGCCTGTAGGTTGGGCAAGGAAACCACATATTAGCCCTTTCTCTTGGGTCATATCAACCAAGACAAAGCTACTCACTCTTCTGTTGTCCAAGTATTCTAGGATTTTTCCTTTTTAAACAGAAATTTCTCGATTGGCTCATATATTGCATTAGGCACTGTGCTTCAGAGACTGGTTCTACCCACACTTCTTATGGATATGACTCCACTTCAAAAGAGCTCAACAGAAAATGCTTCATTGGCCTTTATCTGTTGCTCCTTTTACTATGAACACTCCCCCCTGGCTAAGTCCTTTCATCTTTCATGTCATTTCCCCTATTCCCTTACTCAAAGTTGAGAGCTCCTTGAGCCACATAGCACTGACCACACCATGGTGCTACTACATGATTGACTGCCTTGCCTATTACATGACAAGAGATTATGCCTGATCTTCCATTGCATCTCAAGTCTCAAGTGCAAAGAAAATTCGCAAAAACAAAATAAATTGTTGGATAGATTAATTTGTATTATTTCTTCTCATGCATATCTAATTTCTGACCTGCCCTGGACTCAACACTGATAAAACTTTCCCTACTTTTTTTTTTCTGCTGTCAGTTCTGATTTAATAAAAAATTTTGATTTCCTGAGACAAACAGTCCCTTATACTGTCCACTCTCTCCCAAAGTAGGGGCACAGTGACAATCAGATGCAGTGACTGAGCCTGGGTCCCTAACCCCTTTCAAGACATTCTCATAGAAAATGAGGTTTCAATGTCACATTCCTGCTTTTCATATTTCCTGAGTATTTTTAACAGTAAGCAAAAAGCTGGAAGTAATAATTCTTCCATCCTCTGCTTTCATTAGTCACAGGAAAAAGCTTTTAAGGAACAATTTGCACTAGCACTGTGTAGTGTTGCATAAAGCCTTAGAATGACTCAAGACCTAGTAGTTAACCTTTATGGAGTTTTGCTCCAAGAAAAAATACTTCTAACAAAGATAAAAAATCTTACTGAAGCATTTATAATATTCATTGTATTCACAAGTTACTTTACAGTGTGGACTCTCTGATGGCGAATAAGGACTGATCTGTGCCTGAAAGCCTTCCCACATTCATTACATATATAAGCTTCATCCCCAGAATGGATTTTCTGATGCTGAACAAGGGCTGAGCTCCTTTTGAAGGTTTTGCCACATTCATTACACTGATAAGGTTCCTCTCCACTGTGAATTCGCTGATGTCTGATGAGGTTTGAGCTCAGACTGAAGGCTTTTCCACATTCATTACATTCATAGGGTTTCTCCCCACTATGTATTCTCTGGTGGGTAATCAGTTCTGAGCTCTGCCTGAAAGCTTTCCCACATTCATTACACTCATAGGGTCTCTCTCCTGTATGAATTCGCTGATGTCTAATAAGCTTGGAGCTCTGGCTAAAGGTTTTCCCACACTCATTACACTCATACGGCTTCTCACCAGTGTGAATTCTTTGATGTATAATAAGATATGAACTTTGACTGAAGGCTTTACCACACTCATTACATTTACAAGCTTTCTCACCAGTGTGAATTTTCCGGTGTCTAATGAGGGCTGAGCTTTGATTGAAGGCTTTTCCACATTCACTACATTCATATGCTTTCTCACCACTATGAATTCTTTGATGAATAATCAGATATGACCTTAAACTAAAGGCCTTCCCACACTGGTTACATTTATAGGGCTTTTCTCCAGTATGGATTCTCTGATGTTGTGTTAGAGATGAATGCTGCTTAAAACTGTGCCCACACACATCACATCTATAAGGTCTCTCTTCTGAAGGAACTTTCTGACTTGTTATAGAGTTTGTACTTAGAATCAAGCATCTTTGAGGCTCATCATGATGGTCTCTCTTTCCTAAAGATTTGTGTGTGAAAATCACCTGCCTAAAACTACTCCCGTGTGGAGAGGATCTTCTTAATTTCTGCCCCATAGCACTTCCTTGTTGCCAGTCTAAATTGCTTTCACGCTCACTAACCACTCCAAATGAAGGTTCCTGAGAGAGTCCCTGTGAATTTTCTCCTGAAATGTCCTGTGTTGTTGTTTCTTTGTTCTCACAATCTGAAATGATAAACAGCAAACAAACAAAAAACACATTAAAGTTTTCCATTCACTCTCTATATTCATTTTCTATGAAAGAAAATTGAAGGGTCTACCTACAAAGATGTCACTGTCCATGTCTCTTCCTTGCTTACATTGTCAAGCAACCTCATTCTAACTCACAGTATTTTTCTTGACATGTTCTCATCTCCATTTTGCAATCTAGTTTCTGCCTTACCTAATTGCTCATACTTCCACTGACACTTCCACTTCCACTGACACTATTCTCATCAAGGTCACAAACTTGATACCTACATAAATCAATAGGTAATTTTAGGGTCTTATTTAGTCAGCATCTCTGTAGCATTGATACTAAGGACCACATCTGCCTTTCAGAGACATTTCCTTCCAGTCATATTTGACTGAGTTCTCAGATTATTCCTTTTCAGATTCTAGGCTAATAACTCAAACACCAGTGTTCCTTCTTTCAGTTCTTTTTTTCTGTTTCCTGGATTCTAATGTATCCTTACTCTACAAGCTCTCTATCCCCTAGGCTCTATTTGCTACTTATATTGTAAGTTAATGCGTCCCCATATCCCAATCCATTTTGTGCTTATTTCCTAAGTATTCAAATGCTCCAAACCAAGTATATCATCAGATATATTTGCTTATTTTCCCAGTTAAAACACAATACCACTATTACCCAGGTAAATCAAGACTGAAACACCTTCAACTCCTCTTTCATACTCTGCTTTTAACAATGACCAGAAACTGCAATGCAATTTTAGTGTTGAAGAACAGTTTTCAGTTTTGGTCTTCCCTATGCCTCACCATAACACATGATGATTTATTTACTTTAGCCACTTGGACTAGAAGACTCTAACAGGCCTCTAGTCTTGCTTCCCTCAAATCCATTCTCTACCCTAAAGCTAAAATCAACATTACAAATTCAACCATGGCTCTCCTTCCTCCAACACCTTTCAACTATACCCCTCTATTTAAGAAACTGTATATGTGAATCCCATTTTCTTCTCTATTTTTTCTCAATACTCCTCCCTTGTTAATTCTCTTCGCAAGTCAAACTGAATTCTACTCTTTCTAGGATGAGTTCTATTCTCTCACCTTCAAGACTGAGGCCTTTGCTTGGGACACTTATCCTTCTGCCTATTTGCCTGGCTTTCTTCCTCACATAGTTCAAATCTTAGCTTAGATGATTTTCTCCAGGAAGAGTTCCTTGAACCTTTAAGATTAGGTGCCATTTTTTTTTTTTTGGTGCTCCCATAGTACCCAGTGCCTACTTTTAGTCCATAACTTACTATACTAGAAATGTCTTTTTGTTCATCCACCACCCACCTAGACCTGAAAGCTCCTTGGAAGTAAGACTCAGTACCTACCATAGTACTAAACATATATCAGCTCTCTATAAAGTTTGAATGAATGAATGAATGATAAGGAAATGGACACAAGGAGGGCTGACTGAAATTCATGTGCATTACTGAATACAAAGCTCCTGGTTTAGAATAACAGCAGTGATGCTCATGTGTTGGAAGTTTGATGAGTTCCCAGACAAGTTCCTATTCCTCACCACGTTTAGGGGAAAGGCAGGGTTTCCAAGATTTCAGTTGTGTCTTTAAAGGTTGGAGCTGAATGTTTGTTGACTCTTGGGATGCTGCTAGACATGTCAAATCCTTCCATGGCACTGTTGGTCCCTGTGGATTAGCTGGGACCTGAAATTAGTAAAATATGGTTAGCTTTGTGGCAAAATCTCTAGGAAAACAGACCTTGTGAGAGTAGAGGCATAGCTCTGATATACTTCAGGGTTATGGTTCAAGAGATATGTAACTTTTTATCCTATTGTTATGATACTACATGCTCCAGGCTGTAAATTCCATTTCCCACAGCACATGACTTCTGTCTGTTCCCACCTGCTGCACTGGATCATCAAATTCTCTTTCCAAATCTTCCAACAGGGTCACAGCTTCCTCCCCAGTTCTTGGACTATGTTGCTGAACCCAGATTTGCAGCTCCTCAGGTAGGATGCTCAGAAACTGCTCCAGCACCAGAAGTTCTAAGATCTGCTCTTTTGTGTGCAATTCTGGCATTAGCCACTGATAGCAAAGCTCCTGGAGTCGGCCCAGAGCTTCCCGGGGCCCAGGTGTCTCATGGTAACAAAACTTTCTGAACTGTTGTCGAAACAATTCTTGGCAGGATTGGATACTCCCATTCTGTTTAAATTTCTGACCCCAAGAAAAGTTATCTTCTATTTTCACTAGTATTAATTCTTGTTCCTGATGATCCTGAGGTATCTGAGTTGAAACTGCTCTGGAATCCACAGCCATTCTGGAATGAAACAGCTTAGCAAGAACCTCAGTACAACCAGGTTCTGTGTGTGAGAGATTTGGGGGGTAATCTCTTCTTTCCTAAAGGATATAAAATCACAGTTAACTTATGGTAGGAAAAAAAGTCTCAGGAAGTTGTAATAATATAGATCAATAACTCAAAGAACATTTAAAGGGAACAGGTTTGAGTCTAATAAGCAACAATAGAATGATCAATTAAAAATCATTAAAAAATCATTACATCTCAGTGTCTCCTACTCTCTAGAATTTCTACTACTGTTAATTTTTTTTAAAATTTTGTTTTAGTTATAGTTGGATGCAATACCTTTATTTTATTTTTATGTGGTGCTGAGGATTGAACCCAGCACCCCGAATGTGCTGGGTCAGCAGTCTACTGCTGAACCACAACTCCAGCCCATACTGTTAAAATTTTTAGAAGCAAAAGAATGAAACATTAACATGACTCACACAGTGAGATAAATACTTCCTTTTCAATTCCCTCTCAATCATGATTACACAAAGGAGGGAAATTTGTCTTTAACATGTATATAAAACTTACTTACTTTTAAAAATAAAATATAGACCCCAGACTGACTTCCAAGGGTAATAACATCTAGGTAGAATTTAATTAAAAAATTTATTTGTAGATGAACATAATACCTTTATTCTATTTATTTATATGTGGTTCTGAGGACTGAACCCAGTGTCTCACAGGCACTAGGTGAGCACTCCACCACAGAGCCACAACCCCAGCTGGTGATGCTGACTTTTTATTTTTAGCTAGCTTCTATCTATAGCAGGTAATGCTGATTTTCATTTAAGGTAGTAATAGCACATTTTCAAAAAATTCAGATTAAACATGAGTTGACTTAAATAAAAATATTACAGGGGGCTAAGGCTGTAGCTCAGTGGTTAAGTGCTTGCCTCGAATGTGTGAGGCACTGGGTTCAATCCTCAGCACCACATAAAAATAAGTAAAGATACTGTGTGTTCATTTACAACTAAATAAATATTTTAAAAATATTAACAGGATATTTTCCATTTGATCACATTTATTCACTTAATTTCTTTACCAAACACTGAAGCACTTATTACAGGCTCTGTCCTGAGGTGGCACTGGGTTAAAAAGGTTTTAGTTCATGAATCTATTGAGGAATCAACAAAGATAGAACTGTAAAATGCTTACCATGAGTTCAAAAACATGACAGATATAGGCACAAAAGATGCAAAAAAGATCAGGCTCAGCTGTCAAAAAGCTTAAGGTTATTCTGGGAGCAAAAATTTAAAAATAAACGAAACATAGTAACAATTATATACCAAGTTTTGAGATATAGACCAAGCACTATCTGATTTCCGGATGGGAAGGATAGCCACAGAAGCGTATGCTTTTTATTTTACGTTCACTCAGAAGAACCAGTAAAAATTATCAATATTACGGAAACTTTAGAAACTAATTAGACTATGCAGACTACGAATCTCTGGTTTACCAACCAGCCCGGCTGCACTCAGCCCTCCTATTCTTTATATCCCATGTTAAACCACAGCATTTGCGAAGTCACGGAGGTGGAGGCACAACTGTGCTTTCCGCTGGCAGGCAGGAGCTCCAGTGCTGGCCTCTGCTGCCTCCCCAGGAATCTTTGCCCTGACCCGGGGGTGGGCAAGCCGAAGAGCGGAACGCCTCCATCTTGCCCCAGCACCCAAATAGGGCGCCAGCCCTACCCTCCCTCCGCCTTGGGGCCCGTGTCCCTCACCGCGAAGCCCAGGAGCCGCCAGGGCACAAGCTTCGACCCAGAGCGGGGAGCCACAAAGACCGGAAATCTGCATCTCGGCCTTCCGCTCGCTCGCCCTCGGGAGCTTCCGTCCGCCCCGCCCCTTGCTCGAGGTTAGCCAATCAGAGCCGCGGGTTCTGTTCTTCCCACCGCCTTTGCTCAGGGTTCGCTGGGCTGGCAGAACCAGAGATGCCGACGAGGTTGAGCGGACCGTAGGTGGCCTCTTTTTCTGAGGCTGCTTTTGCTTGCTTGAACTCGGTCTTCCCGCTCCCCGATTGTAGTGGGTGTGACGTCATTTCCGATTTGTCTCACTCCCAATTTTCTAGCAAAGTATGCGGTTTTTCCTGTAGCAAAGAACTGATTTTTCCACTTCTTTTCCATGATCTCTGACAAAAGTAAACGGATGGATGAATGAGCAGAAAAAAAAGTAACAATCACTTATATTGCTCTTTAAGCGTGCGTATCATACCAGCCTTGCAACAGCTCTGTGGGCTACACTCAAGTCCCCAAAATTTAAAGACTCAGGTCTCAGGCTACCGTCTCTAGTGCGGGCTTTCCCTCCCTTTTTTTTAAAGCTGGCATTAATCTTGCTATTAAAAAGAAAATAGGCAATTTAGTAGGTGAAAAATGATGCCTCATGTCTTCACTTTGTGAGCTTGAGGTTAGTCCTTCTCACCGTGTGGGGTAGTGCACGCCTGTAATCCCAGAGATTCAAGAGTTTGAGGCAGCAACATGGGAAGAGCAAAGCAGCTTCAGCAATTTAGTGAGGCCCTAAGCAACTTAGAGAGACCCTGTCTCAAAATATAGAAAGAGCTGAGGATATAGTTCAGTGGTTAAGCGCTCCTGGGTTCAATCCCCAGTGCACCCCAACACCCCCTCCCCAAATTTCCTTCTCTTGTTTATGGTTCAGAGAAATGACTTTCCCTGTTTTTGAAATTAAGGTGTTAGTGTTTTCCTCTATTTGTGGGAATTATTGTTTTTGAGACTATTAATTCATTGGTTAATTTTTTTTACTTATTTGTAATTATTTGTAAATGTTAGTTAAAAGGAGAATAATAATGTGATATATACATAGAAAATTAAGTCTCCTTTGTGATCTAACACACTTGAACCAAAGCTATTTGGAAACAAACGTTCTTTAGCATTCAGCGCTAAATTAATAAATAATTTCAATCACTGTGAAATTGAAGCCAGAATTAGACAGGCAGTCAGTATAGATAGGTAAATGGAGTCAGGTTGGATCCAGGAGGCCAATTTTGATTGAGTCTGGCAAGTTGGAGACTGTCCCCTGATGGATTGAAATGTTAATTTCTTCCAAGCCCTTTCTTCTGCTCCAACGTGTTGGTAGGGTTGGAGGTCCCAGGAATTGTGCCTCCCTGTAGGAAGCTATAATTAATGTGTCCTTGGCAGCTCCTTCCTGCCCTTCCCCCTTCAGCCCACCTGATTCCCACATTTTGGCCAACCCACAGAGCATTCCCAAGCCTAGTCACATTTTCAGGCAGGAGACAGATAAGGGGAAGAGGGCAGGAGAACAAAGGAAGCCTAGGACATAAAAAAAGGGCTCAAAACCTCGCTTCTTAGGATACCAGGATACAGCTATGGCCCTCTTCCCTCTCACTGGAGGGGAAAAGTCTGTGTTACCCCTTTTTAAATAAACCCTACTTTATATTTTACATTGCTTGCCTCGGCATGCTCTTCTAATGTTCAAACTTCAACATTTGGGGAAGCAGAACTTGTCACCAGTAACTGGCGGTATCAACAACAGCTATTTTAAAAAGCAAGAAAATACTGCTAGTTTGTGTTTCAGTTATCTATATGCCACTACATCTATATGCAACTCCAAGATTAGAGACTATGAATAGCAGATGTTTTATTGCTCACAATGTGTGGCCAGGAATTCAGGCAGTGTTTAGTAGAGATTGCTAGTCTCTGCTTTATGAGGTGTCAAGATATGGTGGCTTAATGGGCCTGGAAGGTCCAAGATGGACCTTATGTTGCTGGGATCTTGTTGCTGCATTTTTGCTAGAGCTACCTGATTCTTCTCCCCAGCGCTTCTCTACAGGTATCTAATCTGTCATACATTATTCAGGAGTTTAGCTTAAGATTTCTTAGCCTAAGATGGCCTCCTAGAGAGTCAAGGAGGAAGGGAAGATCCTACTTGTTTCAAAGACTAGATCTGGAACTCAAATTATAATCCACCACTGTATTGCCTTGATAGGACTAGATTCATGGAAAGAGGAAATAGTGTCCATCATTCAATGGGAGGAGCAGTTAGCTTGAGTTTAAGAAGAAATTGTGGCACTTATTTTAGCATCCAATGTACCATACCTTGTTATATTGAGAAGCTACTCTTGAGGAATGAAATTATTGAGCGTTTTATCAGTTGAAATGCTTTCAGCTGAAATAATGGAAACTCTACTAAATATCTGTATTGTTTAACCTTTTAAAAAAATTCTACATAAGTAGTGGAGGTAAGGCCATTCCTAGAGTTGGTTAATTCAGTGTCTTGACAATGTATCAAGGATCCAGGTTCCTTCTTTTTGTTCTGCCTTTTTTTTGTGTGTGTGTGTGTGTGTGTGTGTATGTGTGTGTGTGTGTAGTGCTGGGCACTAGAACCCAGGGCCTTGTGCATGCAAGGAAAGGAAAACACTCTACCAACTGAGTTCTATCCCCAACCCTGTTCTTCCAACTTTAAGTGTGTTGGTTTAAATGTGTCTTGTGTCCTTTATGGTACTAAAGTAGCTCTCTCAGTTCCTGATTAAAGATGCTGAGGCAGAAAAAGGGTCATCTTTTTCTTCTGCTCCCTTCTAAGACTAAGGAAACCATATTTCCACAGCAGATTTTCCTCTCATATTTCTTTGGCTAAATTGCCTAGGCCTAGGTAAGGTGGGTAAGGCCTCCATAATAGGCTTAGACCAATTAAGATCACATCGCAGAACTAAGGAGCAAGTCAGCCTCTCCTTAAGGGCACAGACTTTTGGGGGAGGGTATGTGAAATTTTATTATGATTAAAGTGTAGATGTCATGCCAGGGCTTAGACCCAGGAAACAGATTCATGATCCCAGCAGGTGGGAGAGATACAAGACGCAGTTAGGATATTAGACATGCTTTAGTCAGAGATGGTAACAGCCTCCAGTCTCCTTCAACTTCAGCTTTAGCCCCAACCAGTTCCATTTTGCCCCAGTCAGTTCCATTTAGCCCTATTATTGCAATACAGTTCAAACAAAGAAGTAACATCTCCAACTGGTTATATCAGTGCACACATGCTCACAAGCAAATGTTTATGACCTCGAGTACATGTATACTGAATCAGAATGTTTCTGACCTTGACTACACATTAACCATAACTTAGCTGATTCATGGCCTTGGCATACTAAAAACTTAACATAAAACATAACAGCCCACTGGAAGATTCAGTGAGGGAGCCTAACAATAGCCATTTGGGGCTTGCCCCAATAGTAGAAAAGGGGGATAAATCAATGAATGTTGAGCAAGCAATGATAGTATCTATTTAAGAGATAATCTGGGGCTGGGGATGTGGCTCAAGCGGTAGCGCGCTCGCCTGGCATGCGTGCAGCCTGGCTCCGATCCTCAGCACCACATACAAAAACAAAGATGTTGTGTCCGCCGAAAACTAAAAAATAAATATTAAAAATTCTCTCTTTCTCTCTCTCTAAAAAAAGAAAGACAGCTAATCTGATTCTCTTTAGGTAATAAATGAGACACTAGGAAAAATTCAGATTCTAATCATTCCTTATAATATGGTATATGTAGTTAAAACATAAATCAATTACTTATTTGCAAGAGATCTAGACTGGAGATTCAGAGCTAATATTCTGTTTGAGGATAGCAACTGAATACCATGTGCAGTCTTAGCCAGCAATTTTCCACTTATGTGGCTTAACTTTCTGTGTTCTCAATTACATCAGTGCCCTCAAAAATCATTTCTTGCTAGGTGTGGTGGCATATACCTATAATCCCAATGACTCAGGAGACTAAGGCAAGAGGATCATAAGTTCAAAACTAGCCCCAGCAACTTATTGTGAATGTCTCAAAATAAAATATACATATTTTTATTTAAAAAATAAATATATAAATAAAATATATATATAACCAGCGGTGTAACTCAGTGGTAAAAGCACTCCGGAGTTTAATCCCCAGTGGGAAAAAAAAATTGTTCCTTAACATTTCATCCCTTTATCTTACATAGCCTGTTTTAATGTGAAAATTTTTGTTTCATAAATTGTTGAATTAAAGGTAGAAAAATATTATTTTGTTTTTTCCCCTTCACATAGTCTTAATAATTGTTTCTGTTTTTTAATGATGGGTTTTGATAATTGTTAGGTAAAGTCTGCCCTAGGCATTGCTGATGATTGGTGAATAAGGCTCTTCATTTGGTAACATCCATTTGAGAGAATTACTATATCATTCAAAAGTGCTTTTATGGTCTTCATCAGGTGATATAAGCCCATTGAAAATATTTTGATTAAAAGCTGCTATCAATAATAAAGGATGGAGAAAGGCTTCTGCACATGTAAGGGAAATGATCATTTCTTCATTCAACAAATATTGTGGAGCCTTAGTATACATATGAGGAACTAGGAAGAAAAGTGGAGATTCAAATGAAATAAAAGATATTCTCCCTCACCTCTCTTACTAGTGTGATTTCTGGAGTATAAACTTCATGAGAGCAGACATTTTGTTTTCCAATGTTATCTGAGCACTGCAGCCTAGTATTATATAGGTATTTGGATAAAATAATGAAAGAATTCACATATACATATATATAAGACAAAAAATTGGTGCTAAAATGAGCAGAAGTATTTGAAAGATTCAAAGAATCTTTCAAGTATATAAGACAATTTTTAATACTAAGACTATTTTAATATGAACTCACTCAGGATTTGTTTAATCAAGTTTAGCAATATAGACCCAAAGACAAATACCTGTGAAAGAAGAGTTTATTATGATTTTTTAGAGGATGGGAGGCATGGTACAACATACAAGACCCCTTTCTTGGAGAAGAATAAGGAGGAGAAGGAGAGAGGGGG